AGAAGCCAATTTACAGATAGCAAGCTATTAAAATTATTAGGGAACAGTTTAAAATAAGTTTTATATATCAAATGTATTAATTCTATGCAAAAATAAATATATCCTCTTTATTTAATAATATTGAATTAGGGTCTCAAAAATAGTTCTGTTGTATAATAACTGTGTGTTTTATTTAGAATAAAATACCAAGAAACTTAAGAAATAAAGAATTGTTCATGGTAACAAGGGCCATGAGCTGTCATTTTTCTAAAATGCTATTGTTTCCTGAAGTGAACACTCACTTCTAGGTGTTAAAATTACATCAGATGTGCTAAAACTTTTTTTTGTAACCTTAAAATGGGTATATAATCCAAAACTCAGAGTAAAAGGGTAGGGAGTGAAGGATGATGATACAGAAGTTCATAGTTCACACATCTCCGGATAAGTAGCCTCTAACAACTTTGCTAAGATTGACAGGTTTCAGAGTAGCAGTCGTGTTAGTCTGTATTTGCAAAAAGGAGTACTTGTGGCACCTTAGAGACTAACTAATTTATTTGAGCATAAGCTTTCGTGAGCTACAGCTCACTTCATCGGATGCATTCAGTGGAATGCTTATGCTCAAATAAATTTGTTAGTCTCTAAGGTGCCACAAGTACTCCTTTTCTTTTTGCTAAGATTGTTGATTATCCTATAAAATGACTTGGTGCTTGAACTGTCAATCAGTTTTACTACCTAGACTACTGTTACAATTAAATCAAAAAGATGGTACCTACAGCAGCACCCCTTACACCAGGCTGGGACCTAGATTTAGTACGGATTCAGAAGGAAAAGCATTATCCACTGAATGACTAATAGTATTCACCATTATTCACCAGGTGTTCCTTTAAGGTCTTTCATCCAAGTACTAACCAAGCCTAAATCTGCTTAGTTTGCAAGATCAGAGATATAACGGCAACTGTAAGGGAAACAAGTTCAAGCAAAAACAAAACCCCTCAGTCCAAACAAATCAAAAAACAAACCTAATCAGTAAAGTAACTCAGATTAGCATTGTGAGATGACAGATTCCAGCTCTCACAAATATATGTTTTATGAATAGGACCCTACCAAATTCAAGGCCATGAAAAACATGTCATGGACCGTGAAATCTGGTCTCCCCCCCCGGTGAAATCTGGTCTTTTGTGTGCTTTTAACCTATACTGTGCACATTTCACTGAGGAGACCAGCATTTGTCAAATTGGGGGTCCTGACCCAAAAGGGAGTTGCAGGGGGGTTGCAAGGTTATTTTACGAAGGGGATTGCAGTATTGCCACCCTTTCTCCTGCACTGCCTTCAGAGCTGGGAGGCTGAAGAGTGTTAGCTGTTGGCCGGGCGCCCAGCTCTGAAGGCAGCAACCAGCCAGCAGCAGTGCTGAAGTAAGGGTGACAATACCATACCATGCTAGCCTTACTCCTGCGCTGCTGCTGGCAGCAGCTCTGTCTTCAGAGCTGGGATCCCAGCCAGCAGCCACAGCACTCCAGCTGCCCAGCTCTGAAGGCAGCGCGGCTACCAGCAGCAGGGCAGAAGTAAGGGTAGCAGTACCAAAACTCCCCCCTACAATAACCTTGGAACCCCACCACCACCACAACTCCTTTTTGTGTCAGGACCCCTACAATTACAACACCTTGAAATTTCAGATTCAAATAGCTGAAATCATGAAATTAACGATTTTTTAAATCCTATGACCGTGAAATTTACCAAAAACGGACTGTGAATTTGGTAGGGCCCTATTTATGAACCTGTCAATCAAAATGCTGCTCTGATTGGCATGAATCTGGAGAAACAATGAACAGCAGTTAAGCTCCTTGGAAATTACGCTGCTGTATCACAGCAGAATTTGACAACAGTGCTATTCATCATGGATACTTTGTACAGAAACTGAGTACTGAATAGCTAATTACAGGGAAAGGGCAACAGCTACATGAACTATAGAGCAGTGCCATATATCTGCCAGCAGAGAGAAGTAATTGCAATTAGGTCAGCACTCAGTATCAGCGAGTAGGTAGGAAGGAGATTTTAAAGTTTTAAAACAATAACGAAAGAGAAAGGAGCTACTGTTCTGAACAACCACACTGAATATGAATAGGGATTTAGAGAAACATTGTGAAGCATTTAAAGAATCAGTGCATGCTACTGGGTTATGTATAGTACACTTAAAGCTTTATCAGTCAAATTCAAAGAAATAATTACCAACAGAACTATTAGAAAGTAGGGCAGTGGTGGGCAACCTACAACCCGTCAGGGTAATCCACTGGCGGGCTGCCAGACAGTTTGTTTACATTTGCACAGCTACCCGCTCTGCTTCCCGCAGCTCCCATTTGCTGGGAACAGCAAACCGCAGTGACTGGGAGCTGCAGGCGGCCATGCAAATGTAAATAAACCGTCTGGCGGCCCTCTAGTGGATTACCCTGACAGGTCACAGGTTGTCAACCAATGAAGTAGGGACTTTTGGAGAAAATTAAGAACGTGAATTAAGACATTGGGGCACATTACCAAATATCTGATGAAATGTTAGATGTTAAATTACATAGTATTTATTTTGGAAGTAGTGAAGTGAGCTATACAAGCAATGTAATAGATTAATCAATGGTCCAAAATAAAGACATCCATCTAAATGTTTATTTATTTAACAGATTACTTTTCCTTGACTATAGATATTTCACAGCTCTTATCAAAGTAGGCCAGATCTGTTTCATTTCCCTAAGGTTAAGCTGATGAACAGTACACGGAGTATTCATCAGCTGAGGAATGGTCATCATCCAATTGCAAAAACAGTGCAAGCAATTTCTCTTCTGTCCTATTTTCTTTGGTATGGATGTGGTATAGTGTATTCTAGAAATGACTGATATTCCCAGATTCATATGTCATAACCTTTAATTCCCATGTATATTGAATCAAAACAAAAAAGGGAATTGTGTAAGACTGTTCTTAATTTATTTCAGGAAAGAGAAGGCTGCATAAGGAAGTTTTTAAAGAAATTATATTGCAGGATCTCATTAGATACAGGAAGTGTGTTCAGCCATTGGAAAGCGTATGCGGGAGGGACAGCTTTTCATTTGTTTAGTAGCTCAATGAGCAACACTGACTTACTCCAGTGTGAGCTGCAACCAGCAATCCTCAGCTGGAAGGACAGGTTAGCCTGCTGTGGTGCCTTTAAGGTAGTAGAGCAAAAGGGAAAAAAAAAAATCAAAACCAAACATGCCATGTCAACAAAATATTCTAATTCTAGTTCCACTAATAATTAACAAAATTAATTATTTGCTTTTGGAAAGTTTTCTCTGGACTTTTCCACTTGTATTCAAGAGCTTCAATTATAAAATAGTATAAGAAAAAGAGTTCTATTCTTTTCAAGTTGTACACATATTTGGTGCATCTTAGTGGCAAAAAAATCAATAGATAAAACTGACTACAACCATTTCTAATATGGACAGGAGCTTTGAAAGTTATTCCTTGCAAAAGCATCTGAGCTTAGACCCCCTGGGTCACTGAACAGGGACTGAATCCTAATGCTGAACTGTGTCATACCTATGTAGTTTTTGACGTATAAATAGAAGTCATCCTTATATCACCAACCATCAGTTTTCTAACAACAGTAAAGTACAGATTAACTGAAAACAAAAGCAATTAATTGCTTTTGTCAAATATTACTCCACAGTGAAATGGCATACTCTGTATATTCTCAGATACCATCAGCGTGTGGTACTCAAGTTCTCACACAGGCTGTTTCTTGCTTATAATTTTTTTTTCTCTGATGCATATCGCAATAGTATTTTGAGCATTTAGTAAACAATGAATTTACCTACAACAGACCTATGATGCAGAGAAGTATTATTGCCATTTCACAGACAGGGAAACAGAGGCACAAGAAGGGCAATAGGTCACACATGAAGCCAGTGGCAGTGATGCAGTACGTCCATGTTTACGGATTTATTTTTTTAACATAAAAATAAATATATTTACCATTAATTTAATCTAGGCCAATGAACATGGTATTAGCTACTAGATATTCTGTAGGTTTTGCATCTGAATTACCATCTGCTTATTTTACATATATTTATTTCCCCCTGCAGCTTCTGAACTGAAATGTATCACTCTATGATCTAGCTAACAATACTGCAATATTTCATGTCCAGTTACTCTTTTAAATATCCACATTGAGATGAATGTGAATATGAAAATAAACCCCAAATCTATACTTACTGTCAGTTACGTTACATGCTTTACAGGCTGCTTCTTTTCCAAACAGAAGACTCAGTTTTCTTGCTATTAGCTATATTTTGGTAGCGTACAATTGTGTTTGACCCACCCGTATCTACATACGTGGTGGTTTCTATTACCACCATCCATGTAGGAAGTACACAAACGTCTTCTGAACTACAGTGTAAATATTAATACCTTGACATTCAGTTGAAATACACCAACCATGTAAGTTTTGTCCTTATGCCTCATCATTGCTCAATTTTAAGTCAGCTCCTACCATTACATTAGTTATAAAGTACACATCTGTTATTTTTATTACAGCTAATAAATGTGGATATCAACTTCTCAGCCATCAAGAAAACAAATAATAGGTGTCCGTCTTTTATCCTGTATGATTTGTTTAACTGAAATCGAGCACTTTTAAAGAAAATAAATTGAAAACTTCTCCCCAAAGAAAAGTGAAAGGCAGGAATATATTCATAAGGAGTTTTTATGAATTGCGCAAATATTAAAACAAAATAATCTCTAAATTAAGATCAGTGAAACTAAAAACAAAATAGCTAAACTAAAGGCCATTCACTGATTTCAAAACATTTTTAACAAAAAGCATTACAGCTGTCAGGGGAAAGAGGATTCAGCTGATTGTTTCACCTTAGAATTGCATGACCAGAATACATCAATTTTACTTTGTATTTTGTGTTAATTTTTTTTCTTTCAGTATTCCTCACCAGTGGTAAAACGTTAATTTAACACAGAAAAAAAAACCATAATTAAGTCATGTGTACCTTTAGCCCAGCATATTGGGAATGGACTACAGCCGCTTTTCTCCATATAGACAGCACCTGCTTGTTTCCGGGCCTGTTGGCCTGCCAATTCCAACAACAACATACACACAATCGTATAGAGATCAAGCCAGGCTTCAGCATACAATGTCCCAATTCAGTGCTCCAATAGTATTTGCTCCTGCAGGGGGGCTGGGAAGCCAGCCACTTGAATGTATTCAATCCACAAGCAAGGAGAAAACTATTAACCTTGCCTACATTTGGTCTCTTTTCATCTAGTTTGCAGGAGAGGTAGAAGCAAAATACTGTGGTATTCCTCTGGTAATATATTCCAGCAGCATGAAGAATGCCTTTCAGTTACAGAATCGTCTCATGCCTCAACAATTTCAAGCACAGACCATCCTTTTCCACGGTGAGCTACTGAACAGAATGCTACCAGCCAGTAATGTGACTGTGTGTGTGTGTCTGTATTCCTAGATTCATTCAGGAGGGAGGAGGGAGGGAAGGAGGAGCAGGAGGGAAGGCGATTAGCAAGCACCTTATTAATATGCTAATCTCACCCTTCTGTTCAATTCACACAGCAGACTCCTGTTTACAAAACTGACAGCAGATTCTAAAATTGACTAAGCTGCAAATCAAGCCTGACCCAGGTCATGTCTATAGAGGTGCTCCCCCAACCATTTTTGTTTTAAATTCATGCCTCTGGTATTTTACCAACCTATCTTGACATTTGATTTTCAATAACTTCCCTAATAAGATAAGAACAATGAAAAACTGAACAATGAATAACTTGAAAATGTAGAGCATCCTGAAGTATCCAGCAGAACAAATATGTTTTAGTAAAAACAAAACAATACAAAAAATAATAAAAAAGCTTACTCACTTGATATTTTCCATCAGATTTAGAGACTATTTTACAGTAAATTTAGCTTTATAAAACATACAGCAAGAGCGGATTCAAATGTCCCTAAACTTCAATGGAAGCAGGACTGAGCTCTAGATCAGGAACCTAACTTAATCGCATTTTTTAGAATTAAACTAGAGGAGAAACAATGACAGATCAAAACATTGGTGAAAGGTTAACACTAAGGAAATAGGACACCACAGTGTCTACTGTAATCAGTACCATAGCTAGCTCCCCTCTAAAAATATGACCACTGCTTTATTCTCTTGCAGCTGAGAGAAGGCATAGGTCATCACATATACTTACCTATCCACACATATTACACTTCATGTATAAAAGGTTAACTGAAGATAGATTTGATTTCCTTTCAATATCTGGGCACCAGGAATAAAAATGATATTTTACATTATGTTTAATATACATTTATGCACATGCAATATACCATATAGAATTCATTTCTGCCGAATCACCTGTTCATGTTATATATTGAAATGAAATGTTTATTAACCATGTTGAAGAATCCTTTTTCTATAACAAGCTGTGTGCACTATTGGGGGTGTGTGCCTGTTTACGTGTATAGCACGTATGTAGACAAACAAAAATTACAAAACTCCCATCTTCTCTCTTCTAGTAGAAGGTTCCACAGTACACATTATAAACATAACAAAAAAGTAGATTCAGCCTAAATAATTATTATAAACTCTTAAGAGTGGTATATTTTGTCCCTATCATTAAACTATTCATAAATTCCATATTAGCCATCTCTAATGTACAGTCCTCAAGAGAGAGACAAGGTGAGTGAGGTAATATCTTTTATCGGACCAACTTCTTGTGGTCAGAGAAACAAGCTCTGTGTTAGCTCATAAGCTGGTCTCTCTCACTGACAGAAATTGGTCCAATAAAAGGTATTACCTCACCCATCTGGTCTCTCTAGTATCCCGACACCTGCATGGCTACAACACCACCACATCATCCTCTACAACCACTACACCACCACCATCCTCAACAGTAAGACATAGAGCTTAAATAACTAAGACTGTTACCAAAAGAGAGCTAGTTTTACGTTAACACAATCACTAAACTGACCCATTTGCCTAGGTGTAACAGCACAAACAATAATCTCCATTACATATTTCATTAAATTTATGTGTCTACAGATTACATCCCTGCCATTTTGGTTTCTCAAAGCAGTTTGATGCAGACAACCAGAAAGGTCCATTTAGAGTCTCTGGGTAACAAATACTGTTGCTTCCTTCCAAAAGTACAATTTTTTTTCAATTTAAAAGAAAAGTTATCCACTGCAAAAATAGAGATTAGAGCACAACCAAGCCACAGATGTTCTGCATCAGTGCCCAGGCACAATGACCAAAGCTCTTTCTGGGGCTGAAGAGAGCCAAAGAGACTTAGGGATATGCAGGGTGTCTCCTCCCCTTAAAGTTTTTGAAACTATAGAATACTGCAGAAGCAGTCAAATCCTGTCAGCTGTGGGTTCTTATATGTTCACCTTTAAGGACATAACAGCACAAGCAATAGTAGAGGTAACAGTTCTTATTCATTTCAACGATATATCTGGTACAAGGTAATTATTGTTATTGCTACTGTTACTTGTTCAGGGCTGATAATGTGCTTGGTTCTGTGCAATCGGCAAATGTAAGAGGCAGAAGAAGGATGGTCTTGTAATTAAGACTCTGGCCAGGGGCTCAAGAAAGCTGATTTTAATATCCAGTTCTGTTACCGACCTCCTTTATGACCATGAGGAAGTCAGTCTTTTTTTACCTTAGCTCCCCATCTGTAAATTAAACGACAATATTTCCTTTCTCCCACCCTTTTCCTGTTTGTCTATTTAGAGTGTAAGTTTCCCAGGACAGGAACTTTCTTACTATGTGTAGGTGCAGCCTCAAGCAAAACAGAGCTGTGATATTGGTTCGGGCTTCTAGTTGCCACTGGAATACAAATAAATAATATCTCGCCTACCCTGAAGAGTTTACAGTCCAAAAGAGACACATACAGAAGACAGCACTTAAAAGGATGTTCTAGTAAATCCAGGAGGTCAGATTGGTTTTGGACTTTTTATTTAATTCTTATTTTAATAGAATAAAAACTCCTATTGGGTAAGTTTGCGGAGAAGTGGGTTATCAAGAAAGATCTGAATTAAGAGAATGCACTGGATCTTATTTTTTAACGCTTATATGGACTAATATAGAATAATATAATAAAGAAGTAGTGACACACTGAACAAATGGATTTCAGAGAGTCCTGACCACCCTCTTCCCAGGACTTTTTCCTGTTATACCATGTTACAGTACAGGGAAAGTTGAAAACCAAAGCTTTGCACCAAACCAGTAATACAATTTTTAATATCTGCTCAATAGTTCTATACATATTGATTATAAACATATTTTTTAAAATCTGTAAATAGTAATTTACAAAATAGACCAAATGGTCCTACAGTGCAAAGATTTAAACTAACCAAACCTGCTTGTGTGTTTTCATCTGCCTTTGTAACAAAAACATTACTGTAGAACACAACTCAAAAAGAAGCCGGGGCAGCAGCATCCTACCTTAAAAATCACACCACTGTTTTCTCAGTATAGACCTGACTCAAATGCGTGACCCAGACAACGCTTTTAATACCTTAGAGGCAGGGAAAACCAGAAGAGAAACAGCAATAGCTACAGGGCCACACATTTCCCACCCATTTCACACATGACTTTTCAGTACCAGTAACTTTACCTGAAGCTGTTGACGGGGGCACTGCATCAGGCAGCATTCATGTGTTTGCGTAGGTTCTCTCCATTCACATTTGGAGCCGTTCCTCAGATTCCACTTGGCGGTATTGTTACCAGTCTTTGCCAACTCAGCTCTCGATCGAGTCAGAGTACACCAGTGCTTTCATTTAAGTTCAGTCCCTGAAGGGATTTGTTTTGAAGGAACGAGGTTCTCTAAGACCATCCACATTTCCTGTCATGTTGTTCTCTGTAAACAGTGGTATTTTGGGTTAAGGGATTTTCAGAGGCAAAGCTTTTTCTGGACTTCTGCAGCTTAGGTGGTAAAATGTATCCATGCAGCAGATGTCTTGGATTATGCACCTGTTTTTTCCTCCCCTTTTTACTGAAGGCATCCCACCCATTGATGGTGATGCAATCCCCACAGGACAGTATGGTAACAGAGTGAGGGTCGGTTTCAAAGTTCCTGTGTTTATCCTACAGGACTGACTGAGTTCAATATCAATTTTATGCGCAATGGGCCGAGCAATACCATACTAGGCCATAGTACTCTGCAGTTGAGTAACACAAGTGCAAGACTGGTTGTTCAGAGCGTTTTGGGGTGAGTTCCCCATTTTTTGTGCTAGCCTGTTATTGAAGTACACAATTTCTGGAGTTTACTTTCTTTTTCAGCTTCTTGATGTGCTCTTTGAATGTGAGTGTTCAGTCTAATGTAACCCCTAGGTACACTGGATGTTCATAGTGCTCAAGGCTTATACCATCCCACGATATTTGCAGCTTTTGCTTGGCCTAATGGTGTTTCAGGTGGAAGGCGCATATGAGTTTTGTTAGGGGATCAGCATTAACATGTGAGGAAGCATGTGCAATACTATTTTCCAGGTATACTCAGTGAACCGCTTAGAATGTGTTCATTGTCCTCAAATCTTTCTGACTGGGTAGCCATGCAAGGATCATCTGCATAAATGAATCTTTGCACATCAGGGAATTGTGGTTGGTAATTCATGAAGATATTAAATAGCAAGGGTGATGGCACCAAACTTTAGGGCAGTCCATTCTGTCAACTCTGCCATCAACTTTTCTGACCATGGATCTCAAGAAAGAACCTGTCGAGTCTCAATCAGGAAGGAGGAGATGACCTGGTCCATTTTGGTATTTCTCAAAATTCTTGCCAATTTCAGTAGAAGTCATGATCATTCACAGTGACAAACAGCCAACAAAGCAACAAACACAGCCCCTATAATTTTACAGGTTTTGAAGCCATCTTCAATGTACTGAGTTAGGTTTACGACTTGGTCACAGCATAAATGTTCTGGGAGGAAATCGGTTTAGTCAGTCAGTCACCCTTCCACTATCAGCGCTATTCTACCTATAATCATCCACTCATTTAACTTGTGGGTCTAGCAAAATAAGAATACTGGGTGATAACTATTTGCAGAATTAGTGTCTAGGTGGTTTGGGTAGAGCCAACACTTTGGCTTTTCTCCACAGCCTGAATACATGCATTGTCTCCATGCAGGAATTAAAAAGAAGTCAAACAGCCACTTCTGTGGTCTCATCCAGAAGTGTAGCAATAATTCATCAGATATACCATTGAATCCACCTGCCTTTCCACATTGCAAGGGTTTCATGACTAGTGTTAGTGCCTCAGTTTTGAGTTGCTCACTGTGGATTTTGCTGTCTCTGAGGACTAACTGAAGTTCCTGCTTGATTTGTTTCATTCTGCCCTTTGCTTTGAGGACTGGTTTATATTTAGGATGAGTTGGTGAGAAACTTGTTTAGAAGAGACTGTGGCAATGAGCTTTGATTGTT